GGCGAGATTTAGATCAGCTGATATATATTTGTATGACGTGGGCTGACTTGAGACCAGTGGTGGAAAGTAACTAAGTACATTTACTCAAGTACTGAGGTACTTTGCTTGAGTATTTCCATTATCTGCTACTTTGTACTTCTACTGCACCACATTTATTTGACAGCTTTAGTGAGTTTGCAGGTTTAAACTATTGATACGAAACATATTCAACAAACAAAATATAAAGTATTAGTATGGTTTGAGACTCTATTGATCCTTTGGTGACGTTCACAAGCTAGCTGAGAGGATTTTAAAATATAAGTCCCATCTTTACCTGCTGTAACATTAAAGTATATTCATTAAAGTAATTTCATCTAATAATATAACGTACATTATTCTAAAATGGGAGTACGTTTACTTTTCGTACTTACAGTAGACTATATTTTCATGCTAATACTTTTGTACTTTTACTTCTATTAGATTTTGAATGCAGAGCTTTTACTTCTAAGAGTGTTTCTACACTGTGGTAATACTAGTTTGACTTAAGTAAAAGATCTGAGTACTTCTTCCACCACGATTACGAGAAAACTTAACAGAGTCTTTATCATAAAACATGTCACAGCTGAACAATCCCAGGGGCATGCAGCTCTTTAGCTTCTCACCAGTCACAAAAAAAGTGATGAAATGGTAACGATGCGGTTATTCTTTTAAGGTTTTAATTATTTATACATTGTCCGATTGTAATCCTATACACAGAAAAAAAAAAAAAAAAAAAAACATTTAATTGATTGAAACGCGTCATACGTTTACGGTCTGGCACCTTTTCCTCTAAATTTTGCAGAACCTCAATAGTCTTGAGTCTCCCTCGCTAGGTGAGCTACGGATTAAAAACACTGAAACATCCGGGAGGAAAACAAAGAATTTAACAGTGCGTGGACAAATTTGTTTGCTTCGCCACCAACACTGCAAAGTTAAAGTATCAACAATCATAAAAAGCCCACTGCAGAGTCGCCACCTAGTGGTGAAACATATTAATAAAAGCTCATTTAGACCTGTTAATAATGGCTGTGTTACCATCATTATACGGATTTTTTTTACAGCTCTTTTGATAGTAAAAGTTGCCGACCCCTGCACCGGACTGATATTAGTGTAAAGCTGAACATATAAGTTGATTTAACATTAGTCAATCAACAGGAAGTTAATTGAATGTTTGATCATTAATTGATTGTTCAGGCCTTTTTTAAGGCTTCATTCTCTGGATCTCTCGAATATGATTTTTTGAGGCTTTTCTTTGTCAGTAAACTGAACATTCTGGTGTTTTGGACTGTTCATAAAGCAGCGGTGGAAAGTAACTAAGTACTGTAACTAAAGCACTGTATTTAAATACAATTTTGAGGTACTTTTACTTTACTTGAGTATTTCAATTTTATGCTACCTTATAGTTCTTCTTCACTACTTATCAAAGGTAAATACTGTACTTTTCACCCCACTACATTTATTTGATTTTATTAGGTACTTTACAGATTCAGTTTATAAATACTAAACATAACCAATAAATAAAGTACGATGTATTATTATGGATAAAGATAAGACTTTATTGATCCTTTGGCGACATTAACGAGCTACCTGACAGTACTGTAGAAAATAACATCCATCTGCATCAAACATCAATGATTCTCATGCAGTAATATAACGCACATTATTCTGAAACAAGTCGGTCTGCATTGTGAGTACTTTTTCTTTTCATACTTAGAAAATTTTACGCTAATAGTTTTGTAGTTTTAAGTCAGTAAGTTTTTAAATGCATGCAGGACTTTTAGTTGTTACCACACTGTGGTACTTACGGTTGAGGGTATGAGATTTTCACGGTACGATAACTGTCTCAGAAAATATCACAGTTTCATTGTATTACAGAATTAAGATTATCATCGGTCAGAATAACCCTTAAAGGAATGAAAACTTAAGGTTTATTGTTGGTTGAACAAACGTTTTATTACTTTAACTGAAACTTGAAACTATTTTGTTAATGGAAGTTTGAGTAAAAAGTCTCCCCTTAGAAAATAACTAAGGTAAAGCTAAGATTCAACGTCCAGGTGCATTTTTTTAAATATATATATATTTATATATACATATATCGTAGATAAGCACATGTACACTGTGCGATAACTGTCAACTTTTATATCACGGTATACTTTGAAACCGGTATATCTCTGCAACCCTACTTATTAGATCTGAGTACCTTTTCCTGCACTGATTAAGACCAAAGTCAACATGGTGCTCATCATTACGTAATGTTATGGCTTTGCAATCGTCTCACTGGTGTTAGATTAAAGCTAAAAACGTAAGTTGATTAATCAATTAGTCGATCAAGGTGTAGTTAACGGAATATTTTTGGTATTGACTGATAGTTTTAGTCCTTTTTTAAGGCTTTAATCTCTAAATCAGGCCTCTGGCGTGATTATTTGTTGCCTTTTTTAGTCATATAAGACAGTAAACTGAGCATTTGGTGTTCTAGATGTGGTGGAAAGTAACTGAGTACAGTTACTCAAGTACTCAAGTACAATTTTGCAGTACTTTCAACTACCTCCAGTCTTATTCTCCTTTGTGCTTCTTTTCTATAACATGTCAGAGGAAAATATTGACCTTTCTCCAGTGATATGATGTGATATAACTCTGTGAAAGGGACTGTTCTCCTTGTAATACTTTAAGTAGCCTACATTCTGCTGTTAATACTGTTACTTAAGCACCTCAGAGATCTGAGCACTGCCTTCACCTCTGACATCAGGGTATTAATCACCTAATCAATCAATTCATCTAGAAACTAATGGCTAGTTTGCTTTTGGTGGGTTTTGTGTGTGTGGATTCCTGCCAGAGGCTTTCAGAGTAAATCCTGCAGGATGCCAGTCCATGATGGGATGTGATCTGCCTGTTGGTCTGTAAACTTTCTGCCACCCACAGCCAGCCTCAGCGGATCAGTCAAACCACTAAATAAAACATGCACCACTGGTTTCCAGTCGCTTTACCTTTTCTTTCCTGGTTTTTTGTTTTTCCATCCTGCTCTCGGGCTAAATCCGGCAGCGACAAACTTTCATCCCAGTGAGGCAGGACAGGAAAACACAGCATGCAGAACAAGCCGAGCCCCACGGTGTTCCCGTAGTTTCTCCTCAGTCTGCAGCGATCTTACTTCACTTCAGCTTTGTGCGGGGAGACTTTAGAGCTACGTCGCGATCCTCCAAAGTTTTTCCTGAGGAAAGTTAATCCACGGTGAGTGCGCCATGTTCCCACAGCCCAGCTTCTCCCCATAGCGCAGTCTGTCCGGTGAGAGGCGGGGATCCGGTCGGCTCCATGGCTGCAGCCTTCAGCAAGGTTTCAATTACTCCTCATGACATCAGAGAGGAGTTGAGTTACCTGACAGATATTCATTACAGCAGGCCTCTCATAGTATGTTGGTGTTCTTAACAGTGATGGTGATGCTTTTGTTTTCATTGTGAAATAAATAAAAACACATTTCATCTTTTTTTTTTAACTTTTAACTTTTTACTTGGTCAAACAAACAACAACAAAACAATAAATAATTAAACTCGTGTAACTCATTTCATGTAACATTTGTAATTGAAATGGCAGGAAGCAGATAGTGTTTAAAACTTTAATATTTAAAATACATAGTTCAACATTTTGGGAGATAATGGGAAAAAATTATAATGTACCACTTTGGTATTTGTCTGAAATATGAAGCTAAAGTCAGGTTAGCTTAGCTTAGCATAAATACTGAAAACAGGCAAACAGCTAGCCTGGCTCTGCTGTAATTAGCCTACAGCAGTTGTATCGTAGTTTTATCCTTTTTGTTTTGGACGTGATTTTTACCACTAGTCAGAACCAGGCTAGCTTTTTACACCCATTTACAGTCTTTATGCTAAGCTAAGTTAACCATTTCTTGACTGTAGCTTCATATTCACTACAAACTTAAGTGCTGTCAATCTTTTCATCTAGCTAACTCTCAGCAAAAAAGCAGACAATATATTTCCCAAAAATGTCTCACTTACTTTCTTAGGTGGAAGCTACACTCAGGAGACATTAGCTTAGCCTAGCTATGTCTTAATTAGCCTACAGCAATTGAACTGTAGTTTCATCCTTGTTGTTTTGTACAGATTAAACAAACTTGAGCTTTGGAGGTGATTTTTTACCACTGGTCAGAGCCAGGCTAGCTGTTTATATCCATTTACAGTCTTTATGCTAAGCTAAGCTAAGCTAAGCTAAACATCTCCTGACTGTAGCTTCATATACTACAAACAAAAGCATTGTATCTGCCTTTTCATCTAACTCTCAGCAAAAAAGCAGATAAAAATTTCCCCAAAATGTCTGCCTTACTTTTTAAGGTGGAAGCTACACTCAGGAGACATTAGCTTAGCTTAGCTTAGCTTGAAGGCTGTAAACAGGGGGAAACCCGAAACAGCTAGCCTAGCTCTGTCTTAATTAGCCTACAGCAATTGTACTGTAGTTTTTATCCCTCTTGTTCTGTACAGATTAAACAAATATAAGCTTTGGGGGTGATTTTTACCAATGGTAAGAGCAGTTTACCCCCATTTCCAGTCTTCATGCTCAGCTAAGCTAACCATCTGTTGACTGTAGCTTGATATTCACTACAAAGATAAGTGCTTGTACTTTTTGTACTTTTCTCATGTAACTCTCAGCAAAAAAGCAGACAATATATTTCCCAAAAACGTCTGCCTTACTTTCTTAGGTGGAAGCTACACTCAGGAGACATTAGCTTAGCTTAACTTAGCTTAGCTTAGCTTAAAGGCTGTAAACAGGGGAAACAGCTAGCCTAGCTCTGTCCAAAGGTAATAAAACCCATCACCAGAAACTTTTCACTTTTCAATTATATCTTGTGGTGTAAAAACAACAACTTGTGGGGTTATTACCTAGACAAAAAAAAAAAAAAAAAATTACATTTAGTCTTTGTATAAGCTATTTTTTTTCTCCTCCTTTCACTTTTTATGCTAAGCTAGGCTAACCAGCTATTTTTTATATTTGACATATAGACATTAGACATAATCCAAAACAAAGAGTAAAAACAACAAATTTCACAAGCCAGTGTTGATGTTTGGTCTTGTTTACAGTATTTATGCTAAACTAGGCTAACTGGGTGGATTCATATTACCTATACAGATGTCAGACATAATTCATACAAAAACCGGTGGGTAAAAACAACATTTTTCTGTTTTACAAGCTGGGCTGGCAGTGGTTTGCTCATTTACAGTCTTTATGCTAAGCTAGGCTAACCTGATAGCTTAACATTTATCATACAGACATCAGACATAATCTGTACATAAAAACAGGGTAAAAACAACAAATTTGCTGTCTTACAAGCCAGGATTGATGTTTGGCCTTGTCTTTATGCTAAGCTAGGCTAACTGGATGGATTCTGTACAGACATCAACATAATCCGTACATAAAAACAGAGTAAAAACAACAATTTGCTGTTTTCAAGCTGGGCTGGTGGTTTGATTTTTTACAGTCTTTATGCTAAGCTAGGCTAACCGGCTAGCTTTACATTTACCATACAGACATCAGACATAATCCTGATCATCTCACTCTCAGCAAGAAACCAAAATCCCAAAATGTCAAACTATTCCTTTAAATGTAATCAGTCATTCCTTCTCACGTCATAAACCAAATATTTCACATTATATACAGATATTTACATTTATTTATTTTAACTCAGCTGAGCTAATACCATAATTCGTAACTATCTACAACTGATACAACACAAATATTTACATCCACACTGATTACTGAAACCTCAATAACAGTGACTCGTAGGGTTTAATCAGAGCGGAGACTACTGATGCAGAGGTGCATTAAAACGCAGGTAAATTACCTCCTGTCAGTCATTATCTCAGAGAAAAGTGCCACCAATATCAAACTCAATAGACCCTTGTCAAGGCAGACATTTTGAAATTTAAGGGACTAAATTTGTTACAGTTTATCGTAAGTGGAACATGATTGTCTGGATTAAATATCATGACAATCAATCCAATTGTAAATATTTCAGTCTGGACAGACAGGCCAACGACCATCACTAGAGCCATGCTAATGTGGAAGCACAGGCGTAACTAATTACTTTAACGATGCCTGTCATACCTGTGCTGTTGCTTCTATGACTCGTCAAAACATCTGCTGTGAAAAGGGTTTGTTATACTTCAGGAAAAGTTTCCTTTTGTCTTTATCCAAAAAATATGGATAATAATTTGGTCAAAACTGAGTTCCACTACATTTCTGATGTAGACAATATGAATAGAGCATCCCAGGAATGAGTCCTCAGGAATCCCTGGGGAACTCTATAAACCAGAAGTGGGACCAAGTCGTTGTTTTGCAAATCACAATTAACTCTCAAGTTTTTGTTCACAAGTCCCAAGTCAAGACAGACAAGCCCGGAGTCAAGTCCTAAGTCATAAACTTTGAGTTACGCACGCCTTACCAAACGTCATACTATTTCAATTACGGAGTTATAATACAAAACGATTGTTTTATAAAAGTTGTAGTTAGTTGGAAGTCGTTGCATCTCCATCAGTAACTTTAAACCCGCATGCTTTGCAAACTGCAATTTGTTTTCTGTTGACCACCGACTAGTTTTTGGACGTGAATGAAATTATCTTTGGTATAATGTTTTCCTACAGGCCTTCAGTTATGTAACGAAAGTTCTTCACAGTTCTCTCCTGCAACTTGACTGGATAATGTCGGACCGAATAGTGTTCATGTTATTTAATTAATTCCAGAAATGAACATGCTTTTTCATCTTTGGGGCTTAGGAGAGGGTATCGTGTATTTGTAAGTCAAAAGGCTCAAGTGCAAGTGAGGTCACGAGTCATTGGTGTTAAAGTCCAAGTCAAGTTGCAAGTCCTTTTTTGTGAATTTAAGTCTAAAGTCATCAAATTTGTGACTCAAGTCTGACTCATGTCCAAGTCATGTGACTCGAGCCCCCATCTCTGGGATACAGAGTACTACAGTTTTTAATGGGGACCCAAAGTGGTCACTATTACATCAAAAAATACATGCAGATAAAGACATGTTTCAAGATGTTTTAAAACTCAGCTCATTATTATGACTCTTTTCACTGAGTTTATTGCTGGTGTTTTTTATGATAACCCAGCAGTTTATGTTTATTTAATTTATAATCTTAAGTTTGTTTTTGGGTTTTCTATTTGAACATATTGTCCTTTGGAAAAAAAAGATGTTGTGAGATAAAAACAGATTTTGAAGGAGGGAAAATCTGACATAGAAAGTGCTGGAACAAAAAGAAAATGACCTGAAATAGTCTCTGTAATATTGACCACTTTGAGCCTCCATAGTATTCACACTCAGACGAGCGCTCTTCCTCTTACAGCTGGCCGATCCCGCTTGTGTGTCCTGCTCTTGTTCTGGCTGAGTTTGGGCCGGACCATCCTGAGACACAGTTTGTGGAGTCTGACAGCTCTGTCTTTCCTCTTGGCTCTCCTGTTGTTTGGCCTCCTGACCTTCAGTTTGATGGCCTGTAGATGGCGCTGCTCCTCCATGTCAGCTCTGCTGCTCTGCTCCAGCTGAGGAAGATCTGCTCTCACCAGAGCTGCTGTACAGCTGATGGACAAAGATAAACGGTACTTTATAGAGGACGCTTTCATGAATTCAAGGACTGTATTCAAGTACAATTTGAGGTTCTTGTGTTTGAGTAGGTCCATTTTATGCGACTTTATTCTTCTGCTTACATTTCAGAGGCAAATACTGCACTTTTTACTCCACTACATTTATTTGTCTGCTGTAGTTACTTTACAATTTTACATTAAAAAAAATATAAGAGTTAAAAAAAAACTTTGTCAGCAGTTCCACCAAGGATACACTTTCTCTTTTATCTTCTTCTTTGCTCTCCCATTAATCACCATTAATTTGATGGTTCCCAGTTTGACCATGACTGGAGCAGTGCAGTGGTTCAAAGTAACACAGTAACATGTAAAGTATTTGTATTTGTACTCCAGTAGCTCCATGTTAGCCTACTTTATATCTCTTCTGCACAACAATTATGAAGAAAATATCATACTTTTTACTCCAATACATTTATTTGACAGCAATAGTTACTAGTTACTTTTCAGTTCCAGATTTTAAGTTTAAAAAACTATGATAAGCTTTTAGATTAAATCTGTGGTTCTGAAACTTTTTGGCTGATCGCGAAAAAAATAGTGTCTGGTTGTGTCTCCAGAAACTTGTCAAGTACTTTACTTGAGTATTTCCACTGTATTTTACTTAAACTCTATTGTATTTTTTATTCTACTACATTTTAGATTTTTACATATTTTGCTGAATATATTTTTATAGATTAAACCAGTGGTTCAGATCTGTCTTACGCCCTCTTTTGAAAAAAACAGTGTTTAGTTCCCTGTTGGCATTTTACGTTTCTGCAAACCACGAATACATTACATTTGCATGTTTTATATGTATATCAGAGTTTCTAAAGAGATGTAGTGTATGAGCTGACTTTGTCATCAGGAGGTGGAGGGGATTGTGGATGCTGTGGTACTTAGACAAGATGTCTGCCAAGCTGTGGACAACTGTTTAAATCCAACATCAACAAAACTTGTTTAAATCAAGAGAGTCATTGCTGTGTTTCAAGGCTTTTAAGGCACCAAACAAAGGTGTTTTGAAGTGACCCCCGGTGTTTTTCCAGCAGCTTTCTGAGTACCAAACAAAGGTGTTTTGTCGTGATCTGTCACTATTTTTCTAGCAGTTTTTTAGACACCAAACAAAAGTATTTTGTCACAACATGTCACTGTTTTTCCAGCAGCTTCTTGGGCACTAGACAAAAGTGTTTTGTAGTAATCAGTCACCGTTTTTCCAGCAGCTTCTTGGGCACTAGACAAAAGTGTTTTGTAGTAATCAGTCACTGTTTTTCCAGCAGCTTCTTGGGCACTAGACAAAAGTGTTTTGTAGTAATCAGTCACCGTTTTTCCAGCAGCTTCTTGGGCACTAGACAAAAGTGTTTTGTAGTAATCAGTCACTGTTTTTCCAGCGGCTTCTTGGGCACTAAACAAAAGTGTTTTGTAGTAATCTGTCACTGTTTTTCCAGCAGCTTCTTGGGCACTAAACAAAAGTGTTTTGTAGTAATCAGTCACCGTTTTTCCAGCAGCTTCTTGGGCACTAGACAAAGCTGTTTTGTAGTGACCAGTCGCTGTTTTTCCAGCAGCTTCTTGGGCACTAGACAAAAGTGTTTTGTAGTAATCAGTCACTGTTTTTCCAGCAGCTTCTTGGGCACTAAACAAAAGTGTTTTGTAGTAATCAGTCACCGTTTTTCCAGCAGCTTCTTGGGCACTAGACAAAGCTGTTTTGTAGTGACCAGTCGCTGTTTTTCCAGCAGCTTCTTGGGCACTAGACAAAGCTGTTTTGTAGTGACCGGTCGCTGTTTTTCCAGCAGCTTCTTGGGCACTAGACAAAGGTGTTTTGTAGTAATCAGTCACCGTTTTTCCAGCAGCTTCTTGGGCACTAGACAAAGGTGTTTCGTAGTGACCGGTCACTGTTTTTCCAGTGACTTTTTAGACACCAAAATAAGGTGTTTTGTGGCGATCTGGCGCTGTTTTTCTAGCGGCATTTTAAGCATGGAGCACAGGTGTTTTGGCATGACCTGTCACCGTTTTTCCAGTTGAGACAGGGGCAAAAAGCATTCAGTTTTTCCTGAGACGTTACTGCTTTTTCAGCAGGTATCGTGCCCCACAAACCAGGTATTTTAAGCAAAAACATAATCTTTTCCTAACCATTACCAAGTGTTTTTTGTTCCCAAACCTAAGTATGTTCACCTCTAAACTTCTCAAATAGTGATATTTCAATAACAGTTTGAGGCCCAAAAAGATAAACAATGTTCCAACACATTCTCATTTCAACTTATTAAATACTGCAGCTTTGTCATTGCACCTCAAAATATGACGCACTAGGTAGCCCCCTGCATCAGTTTTGGACGTCAAGGGAAGGTGTGTCAATTTACAGTTGTTATATGAATTGTGTCTTTTCAAAAAAAAAAAACAGTTTTTATAAGACATGTACAGTTTCTGCTTGTTACATGCATATAGGCTTTTTCAAAGTAAACTCAGAACATGGGTAAAACACTTGTCACTGACATGACACAGGGCCCTGACCACTAGGTTGGGAGCCACTGGACTAAACAGGCTAACCGTAGTTCAAACCAGCTACAGCTACAACAGTAACATGCTGCTCTGACATTGATGCATCAGTAATAATGATCTAATGATGTCACTGTAGCTTTGCTTTTGACACTTTAAGTTTGTTTTGCTGATAACACTTCTGTACTTTCACTTACCATAGGTGAGATTTTAAACGGAGGACTTGTACTTGTATGAGATAATTTTATGTATATTTTATGTATTGGTGTTTTTACTGAAGTAAAGGATCCAAGCATATTATATTACACAGAAATTTGCTAAACAGGTCGATGTGTCAGTGTTTTCTAAAGCCATGTGACCATCCATGTCTGTGTTTGTATACTTACATATTTCCCACTGTGCAGTCCTGTGGCAGGAAACACGACTGAGACACATATCCCAGCAGGAAAGCCTGTACTTCGGTCAGTTGTCTCTGCTCAGCCAAAGTCTGGAATAACCTGGAAAGGCAGACAAACACGTCAGAGACCAGCAGACAAGCTACAAAAACAACAGCAGATGAACGGACCACCAAAGCAAAAAGAAACCCAGACAGAGACCATGTGTGCAAACATGAGATTATGATAATGTCCAAGGCCATAAATCATTTCGGTGCAGATTCAGAGGATCGCCACACCTTATGTAACCGTGGTACTCCGAATGTATGTGTGCACTGATGGTGGCCTAGTTTGTTTGTGTTATGAAACATCACACCATGTCTGGCCTGTCTCACAGAAATAAAGGTGAGTGCACCACTATCACTGTGTCTCTATATACTCTGTGGAGGGGGGCGTGGTAATCAGTTTGTTTAATCTAGACATGGTGTGACCCCTCTAAACGTCATTTAATGTCATCTTTATCTGGTGCTCCTGCAAATAGGGACTCGAAATGCTAATAAAAAAAGCTAAATTCTAAGTATGAGAGGTTCTGACCGTCCTCTACTTAAAGGTCCAGTGTGTCAGATTTAGGGGGACACATTGGCATAAATATAATATAATATAATAAGTATGTTTTCTTTAGTGTATAATCAACTGAAAATAAGAATCATTGTGTTTTCGTTACCTTACAATCAGTTGTTTATATCTACACAGGGAGCAGGTCCTCGTCTACAGAGATCACCATGTTGCACCACTATGTTTCTACAGTAGCCCAGAACACACAGACCAAACACTGGCTCTAGATAGGGCCATGCACGTTTTTGCATCAGCCACCGTAGTTAGCAGCCCCTCCACGATGAGAGCACCGGAAAAACACAGATTTTTCTAACGTAACTTTGATTTTAGATTGACAGGCGGATTGGGGCGGCGTCAGCAGTGATGCAGGCGCTTAACCGGTCCGTTGTGGTGAAGAGGGAGCTTAGCCAGAAAGCGAAGCTCTCGATTTACCGGTCGATCTACGTTCCAACCCTCACCTATGGTCACGAGCTCTGGGTAGTGACCGAAAGAACGAGATCGCGAGTACAAGCGGCCGAAATGAGTTTCCTTGGCAGGGTGGCTGGGCTCAGCCTTAGGGATAGGGTGAGGAGCTCGGACATCCGGGAGGGACACGGAGTAGAGCCGCTGCACCTCCACATCGAGAGGAGCCAGATGAGGTGGTTCGGGCATCTGGTAAGGATGCCTTCCGGACGCCTCCCTTGGGAGGTGTTTCGGGCATGTCCAACCGGGAGGAGACCTCGGGGCCGCCCCAGGACACGCTGGAGGGATTACATCGCCTGGCTGGCCTGGGAACACCTCGGGGTTCCCTCAGAAGAGCTGACGGAAGTGGCTGGGGAGACGACTGTCTGGGCTTCTTTGCTGAGGCTGCTGGCCCCGCGACCCGGACCCGGATAAGAGGAGGACGACGAGTACGAGACAAATACAAGTACAAACTTTGATTTATTCAGTGTTTCTACTGGTTTAAATCAGCTGGTCTGTTTGTTTTGGAGAGGAAGAGACATCTGCGGATAATTCAGCTTCTGGTAAAAACCTCCTGAACGTCTGGATCACAGGTTGTAAGAATGGAAAAAGTGTGCACACATTAGCCGGTGCTAGAGAAACACTGATTTGTGACGTGAAACAGCTTTATTCAGCGTTTTTACTGGTTTGAATTGATGGATCTGTTTGTTTTGGAGAGGGAGAGACCTCTGAGGATGATTTGGCTCCTGGTAAAACCTCCTAAGCAATGAACACTGAAGGAATTTGAACCAGAAGTTTCACCTGGTTGCAATTTGCAATCCCCACCAGTAGATGCCACTAAATCCCCCTAAATCTTACACTTTTCCTAGAAGTAAAAATACTAACACAACTCTGTGAAAATACAAGTAAAATTCCTGCATTCACAACCTTACTTAAGCAAAAGTATGTATCAGCTAAAATGTACTTAAAGTATAAATATTCATTGTGTAGTAACATGTCCTTCTCACTGTTTTGCTTAATATTACTGCTGCTTTAAGTCTGTGCATTCACCTGGTGGTACAGTTGCAGTGGTACAGCGTCTTGGCCTCTGGGTTGTGGAGGCCGTATCTCTTCTGCTGGGGAAGGATCTTGTCTCTGCACTCATCCAGATCTTTGTAGATGGCACATGACAGCTGCTTCTCTGTGGAGAGGAAACATCAGTGTGTAATAACGTCCAGCTCTGTTACTGTGGTGGAGAAATATAAACTGATATGGTCGAACGATGAATACCTGTGACACCCTGCTCAGTTTGTTTTTTGGTTTGTAACGTGTTCTCCAGGTTGCCTGTGCTCTCAGGTGCTGATCCTGTGGAGTTTGTCACGTTGGTGACGGAGGGGATGGTGAGGAAGGTAGATGGGGAACTGGTTAAAGGAGTGGGGACTGTGGATGCTGCGGCAGTGATGGAGTCTGACTTGCTGCTCTCCAGTAGCTCTGTGGGTGTGGTGGTGTTTGTGATGGAGCTGTTCATGCTGACCTCTGTTGGATTGGGAGACTCGTACAGCGTGGGCGGACGGACCTCAGCGTAGAGAGCCATTTTAGTCTCTTTACACCTGTAAGTCACAGCAGAGGGGGTGGATGAGCAAACTTCCTGTTTTTTGTTTGTTTGTTTGTTTGTTTTGTTGTGTTTTGTTTTTCTGTGTGTACCTTTGTATCATTGTCGTCCCCCCCATTTTTGTTCTTCAGTCATCTTGTAACCCTCTCAGATTTATCTTGGGACACCTTGTCAGGACCAAGGATGTATTAAGAGAGCTGGAAACAGTGTTGGAGGCGGGGCCCTGTTCTTTCCTATTAAATTTGCTCAGTGGCACATGAAGCCAAAAAAGATAAATTTCCATTGTATGAAATTACCCAGATCTTCCGCATTGTGGGGCCCATAGACCAAGAGCAGTAGAGACTCATGGAGGCTGAGCACGGCCGGGTGGCTAACTTCAGTCAGCCCAGCAGCCTACTTTTGGTTTAGCGCTCCGCTAACTTGATTAAGATAATGTAATCATAGGCTCTTGTGGACTTTTAAAATGTTATCAGACTGACTGGATCAAACCTTGATAGTGAAACGAGTCATTTTGCAGGTGTTGCGATACTCAAAAAAAGAATCCATTGATTTACAGACATCTTTTGTCAGTATCAGTCTATGGAGAAATGGCCTCACGTGATGGACTAAGTCGTTGTAATTCCACTTTTGGCCACTATGTAAAATTGCCTTTGGAGCCCGGCACTGTTCCTGGGGGCTTGTTCAAGACCCACAAACTGGGAACCAGTCAGTGTTGCCAACTCTTTTCCAAAGAAAGTAGCTATCACTAGCTCCTAAAGTTGCAAAAAGTTGCCAGATGATGTGATACACTCACTTCATTAGCACAGACACAAATGTTATTGTTTGTTTATTTGTACTCCAAACACAAACCTGAACACACCACAGTGTTACGAAAAAGATCCTAACTTGACTTACATGCCAAACCAGTTCCTCTGTGTACACTGGAGTCTGTGGGAGAACTCAAAGCAGTGCATCTTCAGCAGGTTGAAGAAGGTGTATCCCACTACGTCAGCTATGCTGTCGTTGGCCTCCATCAGACAGTTACGAAACCTGCAACACGAATCATTTCAGTTAACAAAGCAGCAAAGAAAACATGATGAACCAGCTGATGTAGACTGGATGCTATTTAGTGAAAGTTCTAACTCCCTACTTGTTGTCACAGTCACAGTGAGACATGGTGAAGATGTTGCTATTGAAGACGCCAAACTCGGAGTGAAAGGACAGGATGGTGTGTTTGCACTGGTCGTGTTCACGGCAGCAGCCGTCAGTGTCTGTAAAAACTCCTGCAAGAGATCAGAGGGACAGAGTGGGGAAAGATTACAAGATTATTATTATGACTTTAAAAAAAAAAAACTGATCAAAATTTAATTCCAGAAAAAAAAAACCTCAAAATGGTAGCTTTAAGTGACATTAATTAACACTGATGTGCCTGGCTCTTGAGTTGCATTATGGGAGATGTAGGATCCAGTGTTTTGAGACTAAAATTCCAGACATCTCGAATTTTGCTACTTTGATTTTTTTTTTTTTTTTTATACTCTTTATTTGTCAAAGTCATTGTCCCTTACAGCAGCTGGGCTACCTCTCATAGAAACAAAAGAAAACAGGCAAGGTCAATCTTTACGATAGCTACTGTACGTCCCTCCCACCCCACGATCTCAATATCTCAATAACAAAAACAAGCAAAACAAAGAAACAAAATAATAATAAAACAGATATGACAGTGATATAAATATTCATACACAAATACATTCATAGGATTATCGAAATAAACAATAAATTAAGAATGAAAATAAAATTGATTTTGATTTTTTGTCTCTTGCTAGGAGGAGGGTGTGTCTGCAGACCTGGAGACCGCAGATTCAGACCTGCAAATCTGGACCCGCAGTTCTGGACACCTTGTATTTCGCGACAGCGCCCTCTATTTCATTGGAAGCCAACATACTATTACAACTATTGAATATGGCCGACGACGATCCGAATGTGAATCATATTATTTGTTTAAAGTATTTTGTTGACTTGAATTAGAGAGCGAACTTCATGTTTTACAGTGATACGTTTAAAATGATATGACTGTCTTTACCACGATAGTCTGAAAGGCACGTCAAATATGGGTTAAAGTAGTAGGTAATAGTTTAGCTTGTTAGCAATGAACTGTGTGACCTGCACATTTTGTTTCATGAAACCGAAGCGCGATGACGAATAATTTTAGCATGTGCTTTAAATTAAACATGAATAAATGATTAAAGCAATGAAGTGGATGAAATGAGAAAAACGTGTAGGCTATAGGCTTACGTTTTCATACAAGCATGAAACTGTTTACATATTGGCAATTAGTGTACGTTATGCTAAAAGTTAATTTTGTATTCATGTATATCATGTAATACACCTTTATTTTTTTAATATATTTTTTCCTTTATTATTCATAATGTTATATATCACGTGTGTTTATATCACTACATTGATATTACTCTATAGCATATATTTAGAGATTTTGTGGATAGAAATTAAGCTCATCCAGCGCAGATGATCAGAAATGTATTTTTGTCTATTATTTGGTTTTGGCCTTGTTTATGTGTGTAAAACGGTTGAAAAATCTTAACTTTGAATAATTAGGGACTCTCTTTTTAAGGTGCACATAACAATCCAGAAAGGGGAAACCACAGTGAAGTGGAGGAGTTTTGTGGAGGATCGAAAGGCAGATGAGGAAGGAAGGGGCACTATTGTTAATATGTCGATATAATAATGTATTTGCTGTGCTCCAGATTCTTCAGTATTTCAGTGTAGACTGTGATAGGTATTTAATTTTTTTTAAGTGTTTCTGTTTTCAATTTTGTGATATGTTTGATTTCTTTTTTTTTTCTCTGCAGATCTCCCTGATGTGTGATGTAACCACTGCACACAATAAAACATTTCAAACCATTTCAGTATTTCACAGCCTTTGTTTCAAATTCCCACAACAAAAGTGAGCACTGGACACCCAAGACCAGACATTTCCTATTATATGTTGTAGCGGGTTTGATCAATGCAGTGCAAGTTTTTGGCGTGCTAGTCAGAGCAGTCTGATGAATATTAAGATATAAAGAACTAAAATAGTTGGATCAAACCATACAGAACAACCAGCAAACAATAATAATGCAGAACAGCACCCAGGCATAAATCAACAATTAAATCTTGGTATTTTTATTCGGGTGTAATAAAATTTTAAAATTGTAAATTGTAATAAAGCATTAAAAGTCCAACTTCTTTCAAACAGTGGTGTTTGAGTGAGACGCTGATTTAGTTGCAGTTATACAGCCGTCCAGTAGGGGACGAAAAACAAGGGGTCTAGAACTGCGGGTCCAGAATTGCGGGTCTGAATCTGCAGTCTCCGGGTCTGCAGAGACATACTGTTGCTTGCTAGTCCCCCAGACATTTTGAAAGTGCGATCCTAAATATCTGCATGCTCCTTTTTACTTTAAAAAGCTTTTAAAGGTCTTATGTTCCCTCTGCCGTCCTGAGAGATTCCCTTTTGTGATTGTTTGTTCATACCGTGTAAACACATGACATAAACTTCATGGCCTCTGAACATTAGGAAGCTTTAACGCAACCATAATCTAATGCAGTGATACTCAACTTTAGGCCTGTGGGCTTAATCTGGCCCGTGATAGGATGATGGTTGGCCCCAAACATTTTCTAATTCCCAGTGAAAATAAATTTATTCACACTGGATTTGTTTTTCTTAATTCAAATGTAAACCAGGCGCCAGATTGTAAACACCCCCCACCCCACCCCCACCCCCCCAGGGGTCCAAGCTAAGCCCTAAATGTCCTCAAATCCTAGAAACACCCCTGCAGGCTGCTGACTGGCCCCTGGCTTCCTGTCATTTTGTAAAAAGCAAAGCAAGTATAGATCCAGCCTACCCAAATCTTCATATGAAGGTGCCTTGTTGCCAGAGCCGCACCAGAGAGTCCCTGGCACAATGAACCCGCGCTTCACGCGCTGATGGCTCCTGACCTCTGACCTCTCAGCGTGACCTTGCTGATCCTCAGTCTCGGTGTGACCACCGACGCTCCTCACTGCCCTCTTCCCTGCGCGATCCCGGGGCTCCTCGACCCCTGGAGAGGCCACAGAGACGCACCGATCCTCTGCCTCCAACATGGAGTCCACATCGAGATATTCATCTGGATGATCGGAGAACTTGTGTGTTTGCTCGCGGCACAGAGAGAAATAGTTCTGGATCACTGCTGCGTCGTCGCTCCACGCGCAGCTGAGCAGTGCGCGCTCCCCGGACCATGCGCTGTGGTAGAGCCGCAGGGATGGAGAGGCCTGCCGGGGGTCGCTCCAGAGGAAACTGTAGTGTATTTCTTTGTTAGGCAGAGCTTTAGTCCAGGTGCAGAGGATCGAGGCTTGTGTCCAGCTCAGGAGTGATGATGTTAAAATGACAGTGAGAAGAGGAGCGATGTGCGTCATGGTGGCGCGTCGGAGACAAGTGGCTGAATGAGAGAGAAGCTTTAGAGGCTGTTGGAGCTTAAATCTAAATTATTCCTCCACTCACTGACAGAGTGACACGCGCCAGGTCGGTTTTAAATGAGAAAGGGGGGGGAGGAGGCACGCGGGGTTTTTCCCGTGGATCTAAAAAAAAAAGTCAACATCCAGATCAGGATCATGTGACCTGTCAGTTCAGTCAGACATCACTCCCCCTCCTCCTCTGTGTGTGTCTGTGTGTGTGAGCGCTCACATCACTGAATGTGACCATGAGATATTGACTAACATATACACACACACACACACACACACACACGTGCAGATGCCCTTAAATAGGTTATCAATCTGCAAATGTGACTGATATATTGATAAGTGACAGACGCGCCCTGAGTACACACAGTAAATACATACTTGAATGAAATGTGGCACACTTAGCAATTTGTACTTGACTGATTACTGTGATGAGAGGCTTCCTTGCCCCACTGCTTTTGTTGTCAGTAGTTAATTCTCTTAATAGGGATGAAGACATATTACAGTTCACTGGAGACCCCAGTTCGCTCACTCAACTTAAACATTTTTTTTTTGGAAACAGCTTGCACTTAAAACTTTTAGTTTAGTACAACACAGTCACATAAAAGTTTTGATTTCACCAGACACAAAATAAATGTGTCACATGACGTCTGACAGGAAATTTATGTCAATTTAACATAACTTTTTTTTTTATTGTTTGAGCATTTTATTCTGGGTCGTGGTAGTTTGCCCATCCAGTCTACATGTGTTTTGTGGACTTGGAGAAGGCTTACGACCGCGTCCTTCGGGGGGTCTTGAGTGAGGGATTACGGGGTATCGGGGTCAATGCTACGAACCATCCAGTCCCTGTATGACCAAAGTGAGAGCTGCCTCCACACACTCAACGTAAAGTCAAACACGTTCTCGGTGGGTGTTGTTCCTCCGCCAGGGTTGTCCCTCATCACTGATCCTGTTTGTGTTATTCATGGACAGGATCTTAAGGAGCAGCCGGGGGGAGGAAGGGGTCTGGTTTTGGGACCTCAGAATTGTATCTCTGCTTTTTGCAGATGATGTGGTTCTGTTGGCTTCATCACATCATGACCTCCAGTATGACCTGCAGGGGTAAAAAGCAGTTGGGATGAGAGTCAGCACCTCCAAATCTGAGGCCATGGTTCTCTGCCAGAAACTGGTGGATTGGAGTTCAATTATCTCAGGGTCTTGTTCATGAGTGAGGGCAGAATGCAGGCCCAGACTGGCCCACTGGAGAACCGGGGAATTCTGTAAACTGAAAGCAGCTTGGTTGTGGAGAGTCAGGTGGAGCAGAGAGGAGAGGGTGTGTACGTGTGCCTGTGTGTGCAGACTGTGCAACAGGAGCTCTGCAGCTCAGCAGTGCCGTTACAATGGACCGCAAAAAGAGGAAAGGTGGAGCTGAACAGGAGAGAGATTTTTTTTAAAAAAAGGGCCATTGAGGAGGAGGCAGCCAAATGTCATAAACTTACAGATATGTTCAGAGCCCGCCCAGCCCCCAGCAGCAGCGTGACATCATCAAATGATGATGCTGCAACAAGTAAGTTAACATAGAAAAGTAAGAAAACTGGTTATTCTCAACATGAGGTCCGGGGAGGATGGGGACCGACCCGAGGCCAGACAAATGATTGGTGATAAGCTATAAGAGCCAAATTAACCCGTAAGGGTCCATTTGGTTCCATTTTGTACAGAGTCAGGCCGATAATTGAATGCTGCATGATGTCAAACTGGGTCTGGGGCCCCTTGAAATGAAAACTTTTTTTATTATTATCACTGTGCCAGCAGAGAGGAGTGACTTATTTTATATGTACTTTAAGTATGATTGAAGACAAATTACTTGCTTCCATTACAGTAAACATGGTGTGTGTGTGTGTGTGTGTGTGTGAGAGAGAGAGAGAGAGAGAGAGAGAGAGAGAGACCATGGCAACAGTAACTATGGTGTGTGACCATGGCAACAGTAACTATGGTGTGTGACCATAGCAACAGTAACCATGGTGTGTGTGACCATGGCAACAGTAACCATGATGTGTGTGTGACCATGGCAACAGTAACTACAGTGTGTGACCATGGCAACAGTAACTACGGTGTGTGACCATGGCAACAGTAACTATGGTGTGTGTGACCATGGCAACAGTAACCATGGTGTGTGTGTGTCTGTGTGATCATGGCAACAGTAACTACGGTGTGTGAGCATGGCAACAGTAACTATGGTGTGTGTGACCATGGCAACAGTAACCATGATGTGTGTGTGTGTGTGTGTGTGTGTGTG